ACAGACCCACACAGAGACAGACACAAACCCACAAACACCCACTCAGACCCACACAGACCCACCCATACCCACTCAGACACACACAAACCCACTCAGACCCACAAGAAAGAGACAAGCAGAGACACACAACACAGACACACACAGAAACAGACACATACCCACACAGAGAGAGACACAGACACACTCAGACCCACACAGACCCACTCTGACCCCAAAACACCCACGCACACCCACCCAGACCCACAAACACCCACTCAGACACACTCAGACCCACAGAGACCCACACAAACCCACTCAGACCCAGACAGACACACACACAAACACTCAGACCCACACAGACCCACAGACCCACACTCAGACCCACTTAGACCCACACACACCCACACATAGACAGACACAGACCCACTCAGACACACAAAGACAGACCCACTCAGACCCACACAAACTCACTCAGACACACTCAGACCCACACAGAGACAGACACAGACCCACACAGACACACTCAGACCCACACAGAGACAGACACAGACCCACACACCCACTCAGACCCACACAGACCCACACACACCCACACACCCACTCAGACCCACACACACCTACTCAGATCTTCAAGAAAAAGACACACAGAGACGCACAATACAGACACATAAAGACACAGACACACTTAAACCCACTCAGACCCACTCAGAGACAGACACACACAGACCCACTCAGACACATACAGACTCTCACAGACCCACCGAAGACATACAGACACACAGAGACAGACACACAGACCCACTCAGACTCACACAAACTCACTCAGACCCACTCAGACCCACACAGACCCACACACACACAGACCCACTCAGACCCACACAGACCCACACAGACTCACACCCACTCACACCCACTCAGACACACACATACACACACAGACTCACACACACCCACTCACACCCACTCAGACCCACTCAGACCCACCCAGACCCACTCAGACACACACAGAAACAGACACACACAGACACACTCACACCCACACACACCCCCTCTGCTCGGCCCTCAGCCTGCAGGCGGCGGTGGACGTCCAGGTGCCCCAGTGCTTCGGGGGTCTCGGGGGCCAGGCGGTTGTCATGGATACGGAGGGCGGCGTCCTGCTGCAGAGGCTGGACGACATGGCGACCGCCGCCGTCCGCCATTGCTCGCTGCTGGCCTCCGACGAGGAGCAGCGCGTCGCCATGGCAACCTTCACCGTGCGCTCGGTGCTGGAGAACGTCTTCCTGGTAAGGAATATATATACAAATGGTTATTCAATATCCATCCATCCTGATTGTGGGTCCTGATTGATAAATAAGGTGGGATACCGTGAACCAACTGATAAACTCTTTATTCAAAGTAAAATATTAAAATTTAAAGATATTGTTTATACAAAAATACTGGAAATAATGTATAAAGCAGTGAATAAAAGTCTCCCTTCTGGTATTCAGAAATTATTTAAGTTAAGAGAAAAATAAATATAATTTGCGAGGTTTGTTTATATTTGAATGTGCAAAAGAAAAAAGTCAGATAAAGTCTAGATGTGTTTCAGTTATTGGTGTGAAACTGTGGAATGAATTGGATGATGAATTTAAGTTATGTCCTTTCTTGGTGAACTTTAAAAGAGCTTTAAAATGTAAAATGATAAAATCTTACGTTCTTATGTAGATCTATACATGTACTATGTACTATGTAATCTGAATTTGAAGAAATCATGGTTGTAAGGTAAAAAAATAGGGTAGGCAAGAATAAGCTTTGCTTCGGCCTATTCCTTTTTTGGTAAACTGTGGGTTTGTCTATTGTTCTTTTCTTTTTTTCCTTTTGTTGTTTCTTGCGTTTAATGTGGACAATTTACCAAAATGAAAGTGAAAGTGAAAGTGAAGTGATTGGCTGCTGCTGCAGGTGCGTTGCCATGACTACACGGAGCTCCTGGCCGAGGTGCGGCTTCTGCCCGGCTTCCTGCGGGAGCGGCCGGGGGTGCGGCTGGTCGTGGTCGACAGCGTGGCGTTCCCGTTCCGGCTCCACCTGGACGACCCCCCCCACAGGACGCGCCTCCTCCAGGGCCTGGCCCAGCAGCTGGTCGCCGTGGCAACGGGCCACGACGTGGCCGTGGTGGTCACCAACCACATGACCACGCGGCTGGGCCCCGGGGGGTCCCGGCTGGTGCCGGCGCTGGGGGACAGCTGGGGCCACGCCCCCAACATTCGGCTGCTGCTGAAGTGGGCGGGGCCTCGCAGGGCGGCGGCCATCTTTAAATCGCCATCTCACCTGAGCGCCAGCGTCCACTTCCAGATCACCTCCGACGGCTTCCGGGACGCCGAGGAGGAGCCCGACGACCAGCCGCAGAGCAAAAGACCTCGAGGCCACGCCCACCAATCGGCTTCCGGCGCCCCATAGGTCGGCTGCTGATTGGCCAATCGGACGCTCGCGAGCAGCCGCTGTCACCATGGTCACAGCAAATCAGCTAAAAGCACCTGGCAGGTGAACAGGAGATTGTTCGGAGCCGTCCCAGGTTCTCATGAGGCTCCAGGTGTTGGTGCAGTCTGGGTTTGGCTGCCTGTGATCCTCCACCCCCCAAAACCAGGACCAGGACCAGGACCAGGACCTGATTCTGGACCCGATCAGTGGGGTTCACCTGTACCTGCTCCGGTTGGCCCCTCCAAGGCCGGTGATTAACAGGTGAATAAAAGGTGAATAACAGGTGATTATCAGGTGACTAATTGGTGACCAACAGGTGATTATCAGGTGACTATCAGGTGACTAACGAGTGACTTACTGGAGAATTACAGGTGAATAACAGGTGACTGACAGGTGACTATCAAGTGACCATCGGGTGACTATCGGATGAATAAAAGGTGACCAACAGATGACTGACAGGTGAAAAACAGGTGATTATCAGGTGACTAATAGGTGACTAACAGATGACTGATAGGTGACTAACGAGTGAATATCAGGTGACTAACAGGTGGCTATCAGGTGAATAACAGGTGACTTATAGGTGACTATCAGGTGACTAACGAGTGACTTACTGGAGAATTACAGGTGACTTATAGGTGACTAACAGGTGACCAACAGGTTAAAAAAAAAGGCGACTAACAGGTGATTAACAGGTGACTAACGAGTGAATAACAGGTTTAAAAAAAAGGTAACTAACAGGTGATTAACATGATAATAACAGGTGACTATCAAATGAATAACAGGTGACTAAGGAGTAAATATCGGGTGACTAACAAGTGAATAACAGGTGATTATCAGGTGACTTTTAGGTGAGTAACAGGTGAATAATAGGTGACTATCAGGCAAATAACAGGTGAATATCGGGTGACTATCAGGTGACTTACTGTTGAATTACAGGTGTCTACCAGGTGACTATCAGGTTAATATCAGGTCCTTCATCCTGCATCTGTTCCGACTGTTCTGGCTGAAGAACTGAAGCAGGAGCTTTTTGAGGACTGAACCTTTGCAGGCTTTAGTTGGAAAGCAGCTGAACAGCGAACAGCCGTCTGAGACTCACCTGTCAGAAGCTCTGAAAGTGAAAACAGGATTCAGCTTCCTGTCCCAATAAAACTATAAACCTGAACGCGTGTCCTGTCCAGTGATTAACGGTTCCGCCAGCAGAGGGCGCCCTCTGGAGCATCCACAGCTCAGACCTCATTAACTAATGAAATTGTGACATTAACCTGATTCCCACGTGAGGCCGCTTGGTCTCACACAAGCTGGAGTCTGATCCGGTCCTGGAAGAGGAGCTGCACCGATGGGAAACCAGACAGGTGGAGTCCACAGACAGGTGGAGTCCGGAGACAGGTGAACCGGAGACAGGTAAACCGGAGACAGGTGAACCGGAACCCGCCTCTGGACCCCTTTAGCGCGTCTTTCCCGGAGCGGAGCGGCGGCTCTTTGCGGAGCCGGAACCGGGAAGGAACGGATCCGTATCGGTGAGTTCTGAATACAAAAAGATTCAGTTGTATTTTCTCTAAAGTCTGGGAAATCAATAACCCGCTCTGGTGTAAAAATCCTTTATGGAAGAAACGGTTAAAGGAATCCGGTCCGATGCTTCTGGGCTGGATTCCTGAATAGATATAGATCCTTTTCTGACATTGAACAGCATCAGATTTTTAATAATTGACAATAGGAACTCAGAGCAAGTCCGCTCAGATCCAAAGAATCTGTCATCAGTTTGAACTAGCCTCTGGGCACCAGATGTGTGAGTCTGAGAAAAACAGAAAAGTCCAAACGCTTCACCCCCAACATGGGGAAAACTGCATGGGCAGCAAAAATCAAACCGGCTCTGCCTGCTGCCAGGAGCTGCTCCGGCCATTTAGGAGTGTTTATCTCTGATACCACAGGAGGAGACACAGGAGAGCCAGACTTCTCCTTCTCTGACCCTAAAATAGCCCTAATGGCTTTAAAAACATTCCAACCTGGGTTAGGGGTTCCAGGGTTAGGAGTTCCTGGGTTAGGGTTAGGGTTAACCTCATGGTTTTGGTTAATCCAACCCAAAATACTTTTTCAGTAATCTTAAAAAAGGGGAAATTCTCAGCTGTGTGCCGTGAACAGTTCATGAGGACTTTAGTCAGTAGCTTTTGTTTCTGGTTAAAACGGCCAATGGATGGATTTCTGTGTTTCTGTCTCTCCAGGTGTCCACAAAGGGATGTGAAACCAGAACCTGGTCTGAACCTGGTCTGAACCAGAACCTGAACCAGACCTGAATCTGCACCTGTTCTGAACCTGAACCTGGTCTTAACTTGAACCTGAATCTGACCTGAACCTGACCTGAAACTGGTCTGAAGCTAAACCTTAATCTTAACCTTAACCTGAGCCTGAGCCTGAGCCTGAGCCTGAGCCTGATCTGAACCTGAACCTGACCTGAACCTGGTCTGAACCTCATCTATACTTGAACCTGAACCTGCACCTGAGCTGAACCAGACCTGAACCTAAACCTGGTCTGAACCTGAACCTGACCTGAACCTGACCCTGACCTGAACCTGAACCTGAACCTGACTTGCACCTGAAGCTGAACCTGGTCTGAACCTGGTCTGAACTTCGTCTGAACTAGACCTGAACCAGACCTGAACCTGGTCTGAACCTGGTCTGAACCTGACCTTCACCTGAACCTGAACCAGACCTGGCCTGAACCTTGTCTGAACCTGAACCTGCACCTGAACCAGACCTGAAGCTGATCTGAACCTAAACCTGACTTGCACCTGAAGCTGAACCTGGTCTGACCTTCACCTGAACCTTAACCAGACCTGAACCTGAACCTTAACCTGAATCTGAACCTAAAGCTAAACCTGAACCTGGTCTGAACCTTACCTGAACCTGAACCAGACCTGCACCTGCACCTGAACCCACCATGACCTCATTAGGCCCCGCCCCCTCCTCCCTCCCCCTGCGCCCCCTCCTGCTGTCCCTCTGGCTTTGGGTCGGCGGGGTGAGCCCCTCCCACCAGCACTTCCACCCCCACTCCATAAAGATCCCCGGGGACATCACCCTGGGGGGCCTGTTCCCCATCCACGCCCGCGGGCCCCACGGCGTGAACTGCGGCGAGCTGAAGAAGGAGAAGGGCATCCACCGCATGGAGGCCATGTTATACGCCCTGGACCAGATCAACGGGGACGAGGACCTTCTGCCCAACATCACGCTGGGGGCCCGCATCCTGGACACCTGCTCCAGGGACACCTACGCCCTGGAGCAGTCCCTCACCTTCGTCCAGGCGCTGATCCAGAAGGACACGTCCGACATCCGCTGCTCCAACGGGGAGCCGCCGCTCATCCGCAAACCCGAGCGCGTGGTGGGGGTCATCGGGGCCTCCGCCAGCTCCGTGTCCATCATGGTGGCCAACATCCTGCGGCTGTTTGAGGTCAGGAAGCTGAACCGGATCTGTGGGGAGATCCTCGGTCATCCTGGTCGAGCTTTAAAGGTTCTGTCAGGCAGCTGGAGGTGAAGTTTCCTAGGAGAAGTTTGGCTTTTGATCCAAGAAGCTTCTCCAGTACTGAGGTTAACTCATTGGCTGCCAAACACGTCTATAGACGTCAATTCAAATACAACCGTTGACGAGAGTGGCTGGGGGACGATCTGCTAAAGCTTGTCCGTAAATATCAGCTTCTAGACAGAGTATGTAGTAACAAATTGACCCTCTAGGGGGCAGTGCCACTTTTGATGGGAGATGAGCATAGACTGTAGGCAAATAAGAAAAAGGTAACGGTTCGCTATGAGAGAACATGTCACCGGTGAGACGCAAGTCCAGGAAGAACGGAATAAGGTAGAAACTATTTTTTTTTCCTGATGAAAGAAGAGAGTCTACTCTTTCTTTTGGTGTGTTCGGTGTTTACATAGTCATAGCACAAACTATTCTGTGGCTCTTGAAAAATCAGTCAAAATGCTCAAAAAACTGGCAGTATGGGACTCTGATCTGAAAATGGCTGGCAGTCAATAAGTTAATATACTGTAGGTGGAACTAAGGAATTATGGGGGAAAACAAAAGGTGGCTCTGGTCCCTCCTGCTGGGGGTCACCTGGAGTGTGTGTGGGGTGGGGGTTAGTTTGTGGTTGTTAGCAGCTAAATGACCAAAAATAAGTGGGATAAGTAGCAAAATAATGAAGAATAAGTGGAAGAATCAGCGAAGCAATAAAAAATAAACTGGAAAAAGCAACCCTGTTTTGACCCTGTTCTTTCCTGGTTCTTTCCTGGTTCTGTCCCCTTTCTGACCCCGTTTTGACCCCATTCTGACCCGGTTATGACCCTTTCTGACCTGGTTCTGTCCCCTTCCTGATCCGGTTCTGTCCCTGTTCTGACTTGAACTTGTCCAGACCTGAGATGGTCCTGAGCCACAACTGGTCCAGACCTGAGCTTTCAGCCCCACAGAGCCAGAACTGGTCCAGAGCCAGATCTGGTCCTTAGCCAGATCTGGTCCTGAGCCAGAACTGGTCCTGAGCCAGAACTGGTCCAGAGCCAGAACTGGTCCAGAGCCAGAACTGGTCCAGACCTGAGCCTTCAGCCCCCCAGAGCCAGAACTGGTCCTGAGCTAGAACTGGTCCAGAGCCAGAACTGGTCCTGAGCCAGAACTGGTCCTGAGCCAGATCTGGTCCAGACCTGATCCTCCAGCAGATGAGCCCTCGCAGCAGAGGGAGGTCACATAAGCCGCCTACTGCACCGCTTTATCAGGACACTTTTCCACGTTTGATGTCACATTTCCCATTTTCACCTGACTCTGGGTGTGTGTGT